TAAATGTGTAATTTTTACGGGTTGCAAAATATGAATGTGATAATCAAAGTTGGTGGGAAATTGAGTTGAGGGTCTATGGCCACTTGTGCCCAAATAGTTGACATAACTCAACAGCCAAGTTTAGAGCCATTTAGATTTAGATTCCACAGACATACACAAACTAACAACAGCAAAAGATTTTATTCTAATTTTTTCTAGCTTTGAAATAGAGAGGCTACAACTATACTTCTCTAGACCAATGTCATCATCAAGCTTGTTCCTATTGATACATCACATTATCCCTTAATATTTCAATTCTTTCATAATCTAAATACAAAATAAATATTTTCTAATAGAGAAATTTCTATTGAGAATGAATCGACATCTTATTTGACATTTAGAAAATAACCAAAAAAAAATTATATTATGTTGTATTCGTGATTCCTCTATAATACAAATAAATAGTTGTTTTAATATTTATATTATATTAAACAAATAATTTAAATATCCGTTATTTTTATTAATACGAAATATATTAGATTTATGGTTTTTAATTAGTTTGTTGTATTTATATTAAAAATTACGTATAATTATAATTTATACCCAAAAAAAAAATGAAAAGAAAAATCTCACTAAAAGATCTTATAAGATTATAAAACAAAAATTAAAAAAATAGAGACGAAAAATAAAAGAATTAACATAGACAGAAATAAAAAAGAAGACTCCTTTTTCCAATTCATTCCAATCTTGTTCTTATTTCTTCCTAGCTTCTATGCATTTTCATGATTTTTCTGGTTCAATCGAGTGACATAGGTGGGGGGAAAGGAAAAGGAACCAAACAAAATACCTTCTAAAACAACAAGGAAGTAAAAAAAAAGAAATACATACATAGCTTTTGGGAGGGGGAATAGTAAAATCATTTTTAGGAAGATGGGAAATATGGAAAAGGTATATGCCTAATTTGAGTTGTATAAAATGGGAAATATGGAAAAGAAAGAGAGAGTGAAAATTAGAAATTAGGTCAAGAATTGGAGGATGACCATTCATTTATTGAATGGTCCAAAAATTGTTGATAAAAATTGGAAATGTGAGTCTTGTGTTCCTCAACCATTGGGAGTGGGTTTGATAAAGCTGCAAAATTTCATTTTCATGTGCAGTAAGCACGTGAATTTTGGACCCAACCCCATTACACAACAAAATATATCTTAAAAGACCTAAAACCTTCTGTCCCTCTTATTCCCTATATGAATTAAATGGTACAAACTTATCTTCATAGACCTGTGCATATATGAATACTTTGCTATTATTCTGAAATTCATAGTTATATTTTGAAAGTTGGCAGAGATGGGAAGAGCTTTGATTCTCATTTCTTATTAATCTTCTCTTCCCTTCCTTCTCAGTTAATATTTTTATAAGTAGATGGTAAATGGTACCATCATTAATTAATTTGTTCTTGAAGAATGCTACAAACTCTCGGTGATTAACTTGTGAGTTAAATTATGAATATTTGTTGTTCGATAAGATTATATTCATTAAATTAATATTATTTATGATTCTATTACCATCACTCATTTAAACAAATGGATTAGGACTTAATGGGGTCTGTCTTTATTGACTGCTTGATATTTTTTGAGTCCACCAAAGTGACGAATTTTCAGCGCCTCGGTCAAAAGTCAAATATTTTGAAAATTTTTTTTATCTTAGAAAAATACATGTTTATCCTTAAATCAGCACGCTTGAATTGGATCTTCTTTTTATTTTTGTCAC